GAGTTGAACGAATGGCGTTGGAGTGGGAGTGTCATGTCACCAGATCGTCGGCGTACATCGTCGTCCAACATTTCATACTGAACACTACTTCGTGAATATGTTTGAATTTGCCATCAATGTCATGAGGAGCAAGGTATGTGACACTGCACGGCCGTGGAGCAATTCAACGTGTTGGGCTGTCGGCCCTGAATGAGCACATCACGACGCACTAAGATTGTGTGATTTATAAGAAATATTTCAATAACATTGCCAAGACGCCTCGGACACGGCTTGATGCAGCTTAGGCCTCGCTCTGACTCACCGTTCTTTATAATGTCGACTGGTAGGGGTCGATGTGACCCCTGGCATTTCCAAAATAATCTAGATAGAGCTTAGCAGAAGACACCAATCGACTGTGATGCTTCACAGCATCATGCATTCATGACAATGCTGTATGGTGGCACAAAACCTAAACAGGCTTGTTTCTTGTTAAATTCTAAGTACAATGGTGCATATTTCATTTGCTGTGAATTTTTGTGTTTATGTTACATGACTCCGTTATGTAAAAATGTCGGCCCACCGCGAGCGTTCCAAGGCATCGTCACTTGCTGCTCACCACCGCGCCGGCCGTAGACCGCCGTGCAATATTCCTCAAAACCGCTGCCGCTTATAAATCAGAAAAGATTGGAAAACGTTTTTGGCATCAAAACACGCCTCATGGATGTCATATAGGCAAACAAAAAATTGGATGCGATTGCGCAACATACCGGAGAAGAACCTTCAAAGAACATCAGGGGGTCGCATGAAGCCTCCAATCATCCCCTATCAGAGCAAGGGTTTATTCAGATAGACGATTAAAGTATCTTGTTAACGTATCTTTTAAAGAACGTTGAAGGCCGTCTATAACTTATACGAGACTATCGGCAATGTGACGCCTTGACCGAGAGTCGCTCCAGTGTGGCGAAAGGCGGTTAAATTCGAGATATGCCCTGATACGACCATTTATCATGCTAAATGATTTAAATGCACAAGGCAACAAAGCAACAGGACGAAAGTCAGAGGGATGAAAAGAAGGCTTGCGAGGTTCAATAATGGATATGAAAGTACTAGAGCACTAAATGAGGAGAGAAGTGTCAGTCGACCTGAAGTGTCGTTATATGCTAAAAGAAGATTTTTAAACAGCCTCTGACAGGTTTTTGAAGAAAGAATATGCAAGCAGATCAGGGTCACGGTAGGTTTTCCACATTTGGTGATGGCAACTTTAGATCGTTGCATGTGAAAGGAGTATTACATGTTTCGGTGTTGTCTACGTTAAAATTACGCATGTCGGAAGAGTGCCATTCAGAAACGTGCTATGCGTTGCGCATTGTTCGCCGGATGACACTTGCGTGTAGTGTTCGGCGAACTGTGTCGCAGCCTCTGAAGGTTATGTGATACATTTGATATAATAAGTTCTGATAGTGCGCGAAGTGGGGAGCGCCCGTTGCTGCAACATTTCATCTGTCGCCATATTTTTAGAGAGGGGTTAAGCGATTAAGTGTTGCGTAAGGGCGCAAAAGTGAACACTGCTCCTATGATGCCTATGTAGCGCGTTGATGGTGACCCGTACTTGCGAGCGCGCCAGTCAAAAGGTGTTTGAATGCGCCTGGCGGGAAAAGCGCTCGAGGCGTGTTCCGCACTACGCCTCCTTGGTCGGCTCGCTGGCACCCTGCGTTCCACCAGGGAGCGTGATTGCGCCCCGGTGGACGACTGGTGTTAGCGCGAGCTAAAGCAAAAGCTAGGCCAAGCATGGTGTGAAGGTTATCAGTAAGGGGAGGAAGAGCCAGAAGGATAGGCGGGCCTGTGGAGTTTTGGAAAGGTGGCCAGTTGGCTTTGCCGACGTTCCAGCGGGGCTTGAAATGATGACCAGATGGACCCGGGTGTGCCTCCAGCGTGATACGAATAGGGTGGTGGTCGCTGAACAAAACATCCGGCCGGGCATGCCAAGAAGGGTGGTAGAGAGATAACAATGTTAGGTTCAGTTGTGTGTGATTTACGTCAATAGCAGTTGCGTTAGAGGAAATGTTTCACATTTGAATATACTGAAGCAAGCATCAGATATGACGAAATAATCTCACTGATGTTCATTGGCATAATTTTAAGTGAAAACCCTACTCTAAGAAGCACACTATTTCTGTGTAGTGAATATGCTTCTCAACATCATTGTTTGACTACGTCATCGTGCCTTGCACAACATTGATTGACAGTCGGCTGTTTGTTTGGAAATCATGCTCGCTAACGTCAGATACGAACGACTTGGCAATTAGATATGTATTAGCCTTGATTGCCGCATGACTAATGAAACCCTAGGATAAAAATGATATGCATCGTGGATTTCTGGGTAACCTTGAAACAGTCTCCCCAAATAGTTTGTACATCTTCTTGCACGTGCAGTTCAGAAGCGTAGAGATTTACGTCTGAAAGGAAGTGTTTCACAGTTGCGTGTGGCTTTCGACTGAAATAGCCATCCTGAAAACTTTTGGCGCTTTTTACAATTCTTCTCCTCTTAAGATCTAACTCCCTCTAGTTCTTGAGCTGCACGCCCGCGAAAATGGGGAAGGTATATCGGGTAGAGTATTTCAAAGTCACCTTGGCATTTATGATGTCATGATAGCGTCATTCAAATCATACTATTCCATAAGCCATGCGACGATCAAGGCCAAAACAAAAGAAAATTACATTTGTCGAGGCGTTCATATCTGGCATTCGTGGGCGCAATTTTCAGGCATAACAGCCGTTAATTGGCTCTCAATTAATGTTATGCATGGTACGATGACGTAATCAAATCATGACTCATTGAGGAGCGCGTTTACTAAACAGCGAATTTTGCTGACTAGAACAGTCTTTTCCACTTAGAAAGCATACCAAAAGCTATAAGTGAGATTGTTTCATAACACCTGATGCTTACTTCAATATTTTCAAACGTGGAACATTCCCGTTCATAAGCGCGGGCCTGTGAACTGCACCGAGTGGTCTAATCACACCGAGCGAATGCAAACGATCCGAGTGATCCGCACTAAGGCTATTCTAGTTCAAAGCCCAATGCAGTTGTAGAACATTTCCTTGAAGTTCAGTAGCAGCCCGAATTGCTCTGCAAGAACACATCATTAGCGTAAAGTACCACTCCACCTCGGCAGGCCCAGATAGCAATGCTGTTGCTACAGTGGGTAAAGTCATAAAATGATGATCTGAATCAAATAAAATGATGCTGATCTGAATCAAACATACGAGTTTTCTGAAAAGTGGCTATTAACAGCATATTTTTGATCATACACTCTGCATTCTGCCCAACAAGGTACTGAAGATCTAGGGTTCCACTGAAGCCTGAAGGGGGATTCATATATCAGGACGACGCGACCGTCAGAGCTGCTCTGCGCTTGCTGAGCGAACTTAGCGCGGCGAGTGAATGGACGACCCCGCGGGGATGAGGAACTGGGGGCGGATGAGGTTGCGAGATCTCCAGGATTGGCGTCTGAGAGAGTTCTTGGGGCTGGTCGGCAGGCCGGGGGTTCCCACGGACCCGCCCACGCTCCGCGTGAGTAGGCGAAGAGTTGGGGATGGGGGAAGAAGACAGAACGAGCGGGGTTCCACGGACCGCCCACGGTCCGCACCAGTAGGCCAGGAGTGGGGACGGGACGCGAGAACGGGACGGTGGCGCCCGGAACCTCATTGGGCGTCTGGTTCGGGGGACTCTGAGGTGTCGTGGCACGGTGGTGGCAGCGGACTCCTGGCTCCGAAGCGCCTGAGCCAAGGGGACTGCAGGTACTGGAGCGCTAACATTGAAGACATGGTCCTTGGTCAGTGGAGACGTCGGGCTCTGTCGGGGCGCCGCTCCGGGCAGACTGGGAAGAGGAGGAGGAGAGCGGTACGCCTTGTATATTGTTCTGCTGGCGTGGGCCATGCTGCCTCGAGTGATGGGGGTAAGGCTGGTGCAGAGGAAGGGGGGGGGGGATGGCGTCGCGTCATTTCTTAGTGAGGTAAGCCCACGCCAGGCAGGTTAAGGTTACCGGGTTCCGGGTGATCCCAACCGGGTTAAGTACATCGCAGCTCACGCAACGCGGGGTTTCGGCTGCGCATTTTGCCACCTGGTGCTGTTCAGCGCACCAGCCGCAGGCAGGGCACTGGGCATGCAGAGGCGCACAGGGTGTGCGCATTTTTGACGGACCGAGCAGCGTGTTCGTGGAGAGGTGTACGGCCGCATAGGCAGGCGCAGGCAGCCAGACGGCAGGTAAGTGGGCAAACGCCAGACCCTTCACGTGGACGAGGAGAAGAGGGTTTGGGCTGCTGCGCTGGTGGCGGGGGCGCACCCGGACTACCACGATCACCCCCTTGCCGCTCCCACTCGGCAAGCGTGTCCTCTTTTAGGCATCTTTCAGGAACTAGTTTTTCCGTCCTATGCAGGACTAGACCGCGTACCGAGTTCAACGGTCCGCAGCCATCGTCTCTTCTCTTCTCTAAAAAAGCACGGGACCTTGAAGATAGTTCAGCCCTGTGTTTGGTGCTACATCTTCATTAGCAGGCCACTGGAACGGATGTGGCGCTCTTTCAATCGGGGTTCGGTTCACCAGCCGACTCCGTTTTAAGCAAACGGGCTGCATTCTCAATACGTGCTGTCAGCCACTTTGAGGAGGATGGGCGATTTTGCTCGGGTAGTCACAGGAGCGCGCGGACCCGACGCCGCGCGGCGCACGTGGACTGCTCTTCGCTTGGGGCTGTTCAGTTCAGCGCGGGGGCCGCGTAGGCGGTCTGGGTGGTGGTGTGGACCCTGAAATTCCCGTTGTTATACCGCAGGCTAACTATCCTATTCCCGCCCCCTCTCCCAACTCACACCCGGCCGTTACATGCCGTCGGCGGGGTGAGCGGCCACCACGTACCGCTGAGCCGTCGCCGCCTGGACCCGGACGCTTGCGTCAGGTATCGATTTACAGCCAGGCTGCGAGTCCCCACCATTACGTCATGACGTCAGTGCACTGCGCGGCTTGCCCAGGTGCGTGTCAGTAGATCGCCATCTTGCAGGGGGACCGCACGTGCGCCGTGGTCCGGGGTCGCAGGTGAGTAAGCCGATGGAGCTGTGCTCGGTATGTGCGTCGGTCAAATGTTGAATGCGTCTATCCGTTGCAGTGTTCGTGATCCGGTGATGGCAGGCATAAACCGACTCGGGGTTTTCCAAACATAACAAGAGAATGAGCAGATGAAGACCCATCAAACTTACAAGCCCTTTCTGGATATTTTGCTGTGCGCGCCTAGCGGCGTTGGTAGACACTCGGCTCGGATGTGCGTGGCCAGGCTTCCGCTCTGTTTTTCAGCTTTGGTCGCGAAGGTCTTCATGATGACCTGATGGAATAGGTCTTCTTCTCGGACTCTGATGCATTCAAATTTATTCTGAATCCGCTCTTTTCTCTCTTGTGCCGGCAATTTCGTGATTCTCGGCTCCTACCAGTAATATGGCTCTGTCTGCCGGCCAAAGACCAATCGGCTGTGGGGGGGGGGGGGGGGGGGGAGGAGGGGGACGAGGCTGTGCAAACCACGCGGTAGTATCGTGGTCAAAAACGGCCGTGGTACATCAGATGTGGGCTGCCTGCAGGGCTTTTGATAGAAGCCATCACATGTACTACTAGCGTTTGCAGGTGTGGCCGTTGTTTTGCCATCTGTCAGGAAGGGCTGCAATGTGTGCGCTCAAACCCCGCTGATTATTGGGCATATGTCGGAAAAAGATGGGGTGGGGGTCGTATTTGAGGTTTTCATCGTGAAAGACATGACATGAGAGACCGCTTTACCTCCACATGACCTTCACCTCCACGCGGGTAATATCAGTGTGAAACTAGAGAGGTTCAATCCTCACCGGTGATGTGTTAGATTTCCACCGTCCTTTTCCGCCCACAAATACAGCTGGGTGCCGCTAGCAGGGCTCCAGAGAGACCATTCAGCGATCACCGTATGGGACACCGGCTATGTCTTCTGCCAGGAGAGAGCCAGCTGCATCTCCCTCAGGCCATGATCAAAGCCACTGATGTAATCCGTCCAGAACAACGGCAATGTTATCGACCACCGAGACTACCTTTTTTAGACAGGTTGTTGCCCCATCGTAATCGGGCTTCCTGGTCGCTCATGGAGTGTTCCGTCCACCTGATGACAAACGTGGGCGTGAGTCATCGGCCGTTCGATCTTCAAGGGGGGGGGGGCATCTTGTCACATCCAGGGTAAAGACTTGAAAATCCCCTGTGAGTGATGTCGGCAAGTTGGGTGGCCTTTTCCGCATCTGGTGTCTCCAATTTTTGGGAGCATTTCCCGCGTAAGTGCGGACGCAGCCGCCATCTCTTAGATGCCTCGTGAACTACAAACGTGCATTCACAAATATAACCAGTAGCAATCGTCCAGTGTATTTGTCGGCTTTTGTTTTCCAGAGATCGTATTAAAGAGTGGACATCTGAACAGGTATGCTGGCTTTTTTCAATTTGATGTTCAGCAGCGTTAACGCTGCTGAACAGCGCAAAGTATGAGAATTCTGCATTTGCAACATTGTAGGGACCGTATTCGAAACCAGGGAAATTCGAAACCAATGTTATTGAATATTATAATATTTTAAGCATTCAGAACCAAGAAAACTACTCATTGGTCGATACCGCGGAAGAACTTGCACGTGAACTTCGACTGGCGAGATGAAAAATAGATGCGAATTTCTGAGTTCTTTGAGCATCTCTGTAAACAGTAATTATGCAATATTTGGCGATGTGTATCAGGCAATGAACTGAAACTCCATTAAGTGACAAGTGCCGAGTTACCTCTACGCCCGGTTCGCATATGGTCGAAATCCGGTAGATGCGTTCAGACTCATCCATTACACCTTCAATCAGCTTTACGTGAGCAACGCACCCTTGGAGGGAGTGTTTCACCTTTTGAAGATATTAAAGCAAGCATCAGGCAGAATGAAACAAGTTCATTTACACCTATTGATATAATTTGTGAGTGGAAAAGACTGTTCTAGACAGCAAACATTTCTGTTTAGTAAATATGCTCCTCGATGGGTCGTGGTTTGATTACATGATCGTGCATTGCACAGCATTGATTGCGAGCCAATCGATGGCCGTCATACCTGAACATTGCGCCCACAAACGCCAGATATGAACGCCTCGACAATGATATTTTTCCTGGCCTTGATCATCGCATGGCTTATGGAATGGCAGGATTTGAATGACGCTATTATGGTGTCCTAAATGCCAAGGTGACTTTGAAATAGTCTACCCGATACGCCTTTCCCCATTTTAACGTGCGCGTAGCTCAGGACTCAGAGGGGCTTAGGTCTTAAGAAGGGCAGGACTGTGAACAGCACCGAAGTTTCTTTAAATAGCTTCTTCATTTCAAAACCCCATATAAATGTGGAATATTACCTTACACAGTGATGCCTGTTTAGCCATGTCGCCACGCCGCATGTAGCTCAGCCGTTTCTCATCAGCTGTTTTCCGGTGTGTTCAGGTGTTTTTTCGGCGGTGAGGCTGACCTGATGAGTCATCTCAATGGAATGCTGTTCACACACGGATTCTTTTTCATGTGGAGATGAGTGTTTTAGGACTCTCATCGAAAATTGGCTGCATATTCAGCTTTTGCTCCTTCGCTACCGCATCTCTGGATCGTTCGACGTGGTCCTAGATCAGCCAGACCAATCCAGTTACTCCAGTGCAATTATTCCAGTCACATACTACACCCACTCCAGTCACTCAGCTCCAGTCAACGCAGTCACTCCAGGTCCAGTACGTCAGGCCCAATCAGTCCAGTCACTCCAGGTCTAGTGCGTCAGGCCGTCACTCCAGTCAATCCAGTCACAGTCACTCTAGTCACTCCAGTCACAGGCACTCCAGCCCAGGTACTCTATTTTCCGACATGTTTTATGTTTCTTTGCCCTACGCAACACACAAAATCTACTTGAGCTGGAGGGTTAGCATTTCACGTTTTCTGGGAGTCAAGATGTGACTGACTGGACGCCGGCCGCTAGCGCCGAGTTAAAAGGTTTATTGAGGGAAACGACGAAGTACACGCGTTGAGCAGATTTATATGACTCCTGGTGTGATGGACTAATCTAGGACCTCAGTCGTGACAGTCTTTCTCGTGAGTCAAAGAAAGATAAATCCTGTCAGTCAACAGCTTCTGTTTTCAATAACTTGCTCTTACCAACACCCACAGCACAATGTCCACGTGCACAACCAACAGCAGTCTTGCATTTTCAAGTCCAAAGAACGTATAAGCCTACATGGTCACAAATGGCGCACCTTAAATACTAAGTACATGGGAAACGAGTCATGGTCACAGGTTCCTGAAATGATGTGATCGTTAAGCCGATGAGAAGTGAGTGCGACATCGTACGATGGTCGGCTAAGCCATTCACGAAGTAAGGCATCGCCGTGCCATCCGGAACTATGTGATGTAACAGACAGCTGGTGAGGTACTGAAGGCGACTTTTTAAAAGACGTGTCGAATCGCATTACGGAAGCCATGCATAGTTCGGGTCCCGACGGAACAGATGGACTGCGATGAGTTATCATGCCTAGGCTTGAACGGAGGTGAGTCTAGTAGCTGCGCATAACTCACCTGGCTGCTGCCTGGCTCACGAAACAGCGCACCACCCGACCGAGGGTGAGTCACTCGGCTGGTGGGTCCAACGTATGCGGAGAGCGGTCATGTGTGGGTAATGGATGGCGGCTGGTATAGGGCCACACAGCGGACTGTTTTGGTGATGAAAACTGGATTTTGTTGCAATGCGCTATGCTTTCCCTGACGGCCGACAGCAAACCACTGACCACTGACTGCGAAGACGTGCTGTCTGAAGTTTGTCATGAAGGAGTGGAGCAAATCTACATATAGACCGGGCACGGAGCGGCCTGCGCAGCGGACTGCATGCTCTGACCGGCCTGGAGCCGGAGGCCTCGGAGCAAAGTTTCAGATCTCCTCTGGGGATGCACGGCGCTGTGGGAAAGAGCAGCAGATGAAAGGCAAAGTTACGGAGGACATGACAGCACATCCGGCTAGAAGCAAGGCGGGGGCACTGAAGAGTGAAGGATGCAATGAATACAATGTAATTTTGCCATGGCCATGCGGCGGCATAGTTCGTTTGAAATCTTTCGGAACAGAAAAAGACGGACTGTTTCACGGTACGTTTAATGCAAGCGAGAAAATATCGTTATGAAAAGTCAGAATTTTCAACGGCCTTCTCCAAGCCGCTTCACAGGGACAAAAAAAAACTGACAGGGGCTGCAGAAGACGTCCCTCCCCGCCCGGAACAGAGTTGACCGTGGGCAGAGCTCTCCAAAACCTCTGCCTAATAAATGGACGTCCCGAAGCTAAAGAAAATAGAGCAGAGGAGCAAGGCGGATGTGGAGTGCAGTGAAGGGGAGAAGGACACATGAGTAGTGGTGGGGTAAGTAAAAGTAAGTGCTCCTTCCACAGGGGTGGTAAAAGTGTGTTTTTTTTGTCGCTGGACGATTTTCTGCGGACAAAATTGTCGCCAGCAGCGTGCAGCAATATCACATAAGAATAAATGGCAACGACATCCATGCCCAGCAGCTAAAGGAATCGGCGTGTCACCGAAAATCTCTTTTATCGCTGCAACTTGCAATAGCATGCACACAGCGGAAACGTTCATTTACACAATTTCATTTGACTAATGACAGGATACCGGTTGCTGCAAAGAATGCAGCTACATTTGCCCTACACAATGCTATAGTTTAATCACAAAGGCAGCCTTCTTCCACACTTGGGACTTGCCGTGGCTTCACGTTTAAGCTTGATCTACGGCTGTATTTGCTATCCTTGGCCGCGAAAAAAACGGCGAGGGGCATCAACAGTCAGGGCAGCTGAGTGCATGGAAAAAATTGTAACCGGTGGCAGGCAGCACTGCGAATAGCGCCAAACATGCGGGCCTCCCCGTGGCCATGTTCCCTTATGGAAACCACGTGTGCGCTTCGAGCCCCACCCCAACAATCATTATACTCTTCACCATACCTTAGGCATGCTCCAAGCCCGGGGCAACATGTGTTGCCTGGTGGGCGTCTTTGGATGC